TTAACGACCACAATAGGGACCAAAAAATTGGCTGTTAAGCAGGGTGGTTGTTAAGTGAGTCACTATGTGACTGGACCCAATTTTATGAACATTTTATGACTGTTGTAAAGCAAATCACGGTCGTTAAGCAAATCACGTGGTCGCTAAGCGAATCATGTGGTTGTTAAGCAAATCCAGCTTCTCCAATGGACTTTTTTGCCAGAATTTGCTTAACGACCAAGTTATTCCCTTTACGACCATCATAAAAAAGTCGCAAATCACAATCATATGACCGTGGGGGGTGTGTGACAGTTTGCAACAGTCATAACTGCAAGTACATGTTGTAAAGCACTTTTTCTGAGGCTGTTGTAACTTCAAACTGTCATTAAGCAAACAGTCGTTAAGTGAGGACTACCTGTAAATGAATCTAGTCTTCATAGTTGATTCAGTCAACCAAACTGGGGCTTAGTGCATTGTTTCAACTCAGCCAATGACTAAAGTGCATCTATTAAACATCATGGTCAAACTATGAATTTGGAAAACAATTTCCCAAGTCCAAGTCTAGGGACACTTCTGCACTACTGTTGTCCCGTGCTGATGACAGCTGAACTCTAAGCCAATTTAAGAAAAATCTATCCAGATTGGGACACTTGGGCAGCAGCTTGCCAGGAATTCAGCCTGGACTACTAGCTACTATGCCTCCCCCAACAGACAGTTCCCCTGTTGTGCCCTCCCAACTTTCCATGCCAGGAAAGGAATTGCCAATCACTTTATTTTCCATGGGGGAGGGGAGTGTCTTATGGAACCCAACAAAACCTGGGAAAATGCAAGAAAGGAACTTTAATTTTAAAAGTGCCTGCATACGTGTGATTTCTGATGCTTTAACTTTGTAAACAGTTTTTCAAAAACTATATAAATAATAAACGAAAGCAAAGAACTGTTTTGAGAATGCACTGGTGAACTGGGGAAAAAATAAAGGAAGTTCCAGCGGTGTGAGTAGCATGCAGGTCCAAAAGGGTGCTGCAATGCAGCAACCTTTGAATGAAGCGAGACGGCATTCCTGCCACTGCACACAGCGACCAATAAAAATGCAAGGGCTTGCCTAGGAGGAGTGAAGGCACAGCAGGCAACCTGGACAGCACCAGTCCAACAGACACCAGCCAGAAAAGAAACTTGTTCGATTTGTAGCCAGGCAACACCAGGAAGGGGTTGCATTTGTAGCAGACTGGGAGTGTGCTGAAGACGATGCCATCTGTTCCTGCCCTCCAGAAATGGGTGGCCTGTGGTTATGATTGGGCAACATGGCAGTGTGAAAACTGTATGCCCTAGTGTACTTGTGGCTACACCACACTGCCCCTCGTTTGTTGTTCTTCCAACTCTTCCTGCTGAAATATCAACACAATAGCTTAGAAGCTATTGCTGTATATGTATCCATCACACGGAAAGCCAGTGCTTTAGGCAGATGGTGATCCCGTTCTATTTATGTGACTGGTGGAAGAGGATTTGATATGCTGCCTCCAAATAAGAACTTTACCAAACATTCAACCCCAACTTGGAACCAAGTTCAGCTATGTTGAGATTCTAGTTATAGCCCAGACGTATCTGGAGGGCTCAAAGTTGGAGAAGTCTCAGCTGTAGCATTTTCATAAAAACTGTATTAATGTGTTGATTATTAAAAATGCAATAATATTCCTCTTTATATTGGGCCATAAGTCCAATCAATTAAAAAATTGTCATGATTAATCAGACTCGGAACTACATAATCATTTTTAAGTGTGGTTCAGTGATTAGAAAAATGTGTTCTTAGCAGCACTCGCCAAGACAGTATGACTCCAAATACCCAATGGGGCAGCAGCTGACAAATGATGCATTTCAACTCCTGTTTGTATTGGGGAAAAAATAGATGGGCAATCAGTTTGGGGATGGCTGCTCTACATGCCTAGGCTTCCAAAATCCTTCTGTGATTGCTAAATGTGGTAGAGTGGCACATAGATCAGTCTGGGTGTGGTAGCTGGCATATTCCTCAGGCTGGGGTGGAGATTCTTTGTGCCAAGGGCCCAGAGGTGGGAGAAATGACATGCATTCCAAGATTCCTGGGCAGAAGGGGCCAAGGCATCTTGTGTCATGCCCCAAGGCTTCCCTGCTTGGTTTCACATTCTTCTATGCGGTGAGCAGAATTCACTGGCCCTTCCCAGGGAATCTGATGATAGTAGAAAGAAGAATTGGGGGGATGCGGGGGACAGAGAGGCTGGGGTAGTAGTGGTTGGTTCTCTGCAACCATTTCAGTTCAGAGCTGATGTGGTGGCTTTGGGAGCATAAGTCTTCTCCCTTAGGCTGAGGCAGAAGGGCTCAAATCTGCTCCGTTCCTGTGGCTGGCTCCCAGAATCCTCCTTAATGTTAACCACACTTTCCCTGTTTCCCCATTTCTCTGCAGCCAAGTCCCCCTGGCAAGAATGTGGTAAGATCATTCTCATGGTAGCAGCAGATGGAAGAGGGGCCTTTCAGGGTAGAAGTTCATACTCTATGAGAATGTGTCTTCAAGAGCAAAAAGAGACTCTTCTCATATAAGTGTAATGCTGCCTTGGACAGCCAATAAATTACAGAACAAAAACACTGGTTGGTCTCACATCTCGTGAGAGTTGTTTAAGCATAGCATGTTGGGTAAGCCTTATTCAACAAATCATGGTTTAAAAGCAATGGGTTAGCACAATGTGTGAACCAGAACAGAGACTCATTCAATCACATTATGAAACCAGCATCCTTTCAGCAGCAAATTTTGGTTCAGTCTTCATTCTTGTTACTTTCCCCCTGACTCAGATTAGCTCCCCATCTAGCTAATTTTATTTTTCAAAGCGTCATGTTCAACCACTCATTTGTTGCTTTTTTTTTAACGTGCAAAGCAGCTTCAGAAATATGGGAGGCTTCTTGGTGACATTATTTCTGCACTCAGACAACACACTTAACTTGATTACAAAATGAACCCATTTTTTTTTATTTGTACAGTACAGTACATTGAATCCTGATCAAGATTCAGTACCAAAAGAAAGCTACCCAAGGAGAAAACAAATCAATTGCAGCACGTTGTGTGAATAAAGTTGATAGGCTTGTACCTGACCTAGCTAAGCATTTGTCTGAACATAGCCAGTGGATGTCAACCAATCAGGATCATGTACAGCTATTTTGTCCTGCAAATGTAAGCCATTCCTCAAACTCGTTTTGTTTTTCTTCAGCACTGAACTTGAGAGCAGAAAGGTTATTTTGGCTGAGTGAGGCAAAGTTAGCTGTAAGTGAGAAGAACTAAGGAGACCTAGAGACGAGAATTACAATTACAATGTGGTTGGTTTGGTTTGGACTTGGTATATTATGTAAACACAGCCACTGTGGTTCAACAAACCACAACCTCATTACATCCCCTCAGTTTAATAATAATAGCCTACTTTGTGTACTTTTAATTACTGAGATGAAAGGCGTGGTTGCATTTTATGATGGTGAGCCACAGGCTCATATGCTCCCTTTTTTTCCAATGCAGCTCAAGGAAGAGTTCAAAGTTTTGCTTTTCTTTAAGATAAACTATGGTTTGCTATGTCATCTCAGCCCAGATAAACTGTTGTTAGTCTGTTGAAATAAACCACAATAAAATGTGTGCAGCTGCCATATTGAGATTTGTCTCAGATTAGTGTCAGATGACATCTTAAGATGTAGTAAATCAAAACTGGAACTTTTGGATCCCTTTGCAGCTGCATTCAGGGAGGGAGGAGCTCCAGATTGCAGAACTGCTTGTCCTCAGCTCTAATCCAGGTCCAGATATTAGATGGATCTCTACAGAAGAAAGAGCAGGACAGAAATAAACTATGATGTAGCAAATATATAGAGCAGTGTTTCTCAACCTTGCCAACTTTAAGATATGTGGACTTCAACTCTCAGAATTCCCCAGAATTAAGATTTGTGGACTTCAGCTCCCAGAATTCTGGGAATTGAAGCCCATGTATCTTAAAGTTGCCAAGGTTGAGAAACACGGATATAGAGACTTACTTTTAAGTTCCCAGGAAACTGTTGTGTGTATTATTTACTAGCAAAATGTCCGTAATTACTACAGATGTTACATACTTGGAAGAAGGCCTATGAGTTGCAAGGACCCTTTTGGATATGCCTCATATCCATGCAGACAGTGTCAGACAGCACCATTTCCTTGCGCATGCCCTCCCACCCCAGTGCAGCATTTTGCATTTCCCGGAGCACAGGAATACACGGTGGCTGTTCCTTTCTAGAGGAGAAAGTTTGGTAGTATCTACACAGCAGATACATCTGCTTGCTGGGGATCAGCCAGGCCCTGAGAATTAGGCCAGCCTTATATTTATATGGACCCACTCTGATTTCTTTTGCTTGGCATGAGAAAGTGTAGTGTAATGAAATGTAAGGACTAGAATTGTGTCATCCTTCCGCAATTCAGTTGTGACTCAGACGCCCTCAATACCCAGACAACATGGCTAATACTTCTGGAAGTCACTAGGTTAGAGAAAGTGCACCTGTGTGGTTTCCTTTTTCCCTTTGTCCTGTTTCTTTTTTCTTTTTATTGTTATAAATTTTGATGCATTGTATGGTGATGTTTATATGATGTGATTGGAGATTATTAATATTGTATTATTTAGCTAGCTAAGAGAATTGAAAATAAAGGAAAGAGATCTATCAATATTAATTCTGGTATTAATTAATGGTAATTTAGGATGTCACTATTACAAGCATAGAATTATTTGGCTTTTTCTCCAAATGAAATATAACGTTAAAAAATACAGCGTTAAAAAAGAATTGCCATGACTCACATCAAATTATGGATTAGATGATAATGGTTTCAATGGTTTCAATATTAAAATCTCCACTGAATTTTCACTATACATATATTTATGTATTTATACATGGATAAAAGGGGGGAAAAGAAGATAGACAAAGCAAATTTAACAAAAATTAAGATACCTAATAAGTAAAAAAGAAAGGAAAAAGAAAAATTTGTCCTGTTTCTGTAGCCTCCATCCCATTCTTCATCTGTGAAGTTGGCCTCATTTCTCCAGTGCGCCGTGGCTTCTTCTGCAATGACAGCAGCATCAGCTACCCGCTGCAGCATTCTGAGACCATCACTGACACCGTGCTCATTTCAGCAGGCACCCTGATCCCCTTCCTAGCAGTGAGTCAGGAGGGAGGGAGGGAGGGAGGGAGGGAGAAAGGGAAGACTACCCGGGCTTTTCCTCCAGTTTCTGACAGTAGAATTCCTATAGCCAAATGCTCAGAGAATGAAGTTTGCAGTTGGACACATTCCTTCACCAGTTCCCCTGCTGAACCTCTGTACTCTCAAGCCTTCTCCTGGGTTCTCAGACCAATGCCCAGTACCCTTTTCAGCAAAGGTGGATCCCCCCATTTCCCTTTCCTAGTGCATATCCTTTTTCTATCACTGTAGCAAAACCTGGTTTGGAAGAGCAAATTTTCTTCCAATATTAAAGCATCTCTTGATTTAGTTCTTCTTGGATGTTTCACACACAACCCTAAGCCTTCAAGTGGCCAGTTCATGCTAATCCACCCATTATGATTTGGTATTGTATGTGAACCAAACATTATGGCTTCTCCAACAAACCATGGTTTTAAAACCTTGGCTTTGTATTATGTGTGAATTCAGCCATTGACTAGCATGAAGACAATGTCCTGTATAATCAGCTGAAACAGTGAGATTTACTATTTACCTAAGAAACATTTGTTCTCCCTACCCCTACTCCCACGTTTCAGAATTACTTATAGACCAACATCTCTGTTCTTTCTTGCAGATCACTGTAGGCGAAACCTTCCATGTGCACACTCTGCCTCACAGTTCACGCTCTATAATCTCCAATCCTTACGTGGCTGCCCTCTATAAAGAAATCGGGGCCTTCCTTTTTGGCTGCAGCGTGGGCCAATCACTCACTAACATGGCAAAAGTTTCTGTGGGTCGGCTCCGTCCACATTTTCTGACTGTCTGTCGGCCTAATTTCACTCTCACCAGCTGCTCTGTTGGATACATGGAGGACTATCTTTGCACTGGAAGCCACGCTAAGGAGAAGGAGGCCAGGTGTGTATTGTGAAACCCCCAAGTGGCACATTGACAATGGCTCACAGAAAAGTGACAGATTGTGTGTATGTTTTATTCCTTTTGTTTTACATCCTAGCCAAGCTATGTGCTTGTGAAACAGATTCATGGACTGAATTTCCCATTGTCCTTCTGAAGTTGCATGGAACAGCCTTCCTCAACCTGGTGGCCTCCAGCTAAGTTAGTTTACAACCCAGCCAGTGAGTCATGCTAGCCAGAAAAGAAAAGAATTGTATAAGTTTAGCTCAAAGGTGGGCAAAATGAGAGCTATATGTAGGTCCCAAGTCCCTTTTTGTAGGCCCTGGAACTACCAAAAATTCCCCAGTGGAAACAGGGCAAAAAATCTGCCCATCTCTGCAATGATATGAATTGCAGCCTCAAAGATTTAAAAAACCATGACTATCAGCCACAAAAATGTGTCCATGCTTGATCTGGACTCTGTAGGAGGATAAGTAGGTTCCAGCTTCCAAAGAGATATCAAGAGGTGGTCTGACCACAGGTATCAGCAGTGCCAGGTATTAACCTGAATTCATCATACTCTGCTGCCACTGAGGCTGCTGGTTGAACTCTCAAGTTGGAACAGGTATGGAGGGTCCCCGTAACTTTTATCATGGAACATCCTTTGGAGGACAGACCTGAAGAACGAAAGAAGAACCTGAAATCTGCAGAAATTAGAAAGTGAAGCCAATATATCAGGATACATCTCTAGATCCAAGAAAGAGAAAGATTTTGGTGTAATAAAGAAGGAAATATTTTAAAAAGCTTGCCCACAAGGAACACAAGTGAAATACAAAGTCACTTTCTTGCCCCAATGGCAAGTTTTGTTCAGTCAGAACACTGAGTTAGATGGATAGTCTCAAGGAATGGCAAAGTGTTTGTCCGTGCCCACGGAGAAGGATGTGAGTGGTACAAGAGGCACAAATCCAAGGGAGTGGGGAGAGAAAATCTTGGGTTGCCCATTTTGCCACAGTCCATTCCACAGGCTCCAGCCAACAAGGCAGAAGGCAAGTCTTGTGCCATCCAAGGCTCACACTGTCTTTTGGGAGAGTAGGACTCTCTCTCTCTCTCTCTCTCTCTCTCTTTTTTCTTCTTTTCTTTGTTTTACCATTACATGCTTCTCCTGATCTGACATTCAGCCATCACCTATTCTCCTACCATTTCCATGAGTCTCTTCTGGTTCTTCCTGCTGAAACACACTCCAGCAGATGTGTTTCCTGTAAATTCTGGAGGGTATCTGGACCAAGGAGGTATAAGTTGGAATGATGATGGGCAGTTTATCCAGTCAGAACTAGATGGAATGGTGGGGCAGGCCTATGCAATTCAGTGGGTCATTATCCCAGCCTCAAAGGAAGAATGGGATCAGATTTCATTTTAGAAGCAAAAGGAACACGTGCAAAATCTGGCTTCTTCCTGCAGCTTACCTCCCTCCAGCCCCTCTGTTCTCTCCCTGCCTGGCTCTATCTGTGGTTTGAATAGTTTGCTATCAGCTTAATCATGATGGGAGTGGAGGAGACAGAATGGTTACAAAAACAGGGAGCACTGATAAATAAGATGGATCAAAGTGAGGTTTCTGTTAGAGAACAATGCCTATATTGTATTGCAGTCTTATTATTAGCTACCTTGACCTAAAATCCACAGTCAAAGCTGATCTCAGATTTCACTGGGTGTCAATCCTGCAAGGCTGGCAAACTCCATCAGTTGGATTTCTGGAAAGATCTTTACTGCTAGTAGGGTAATGTATCAAAATCTGAAAAACCTGTCAAAGCACTTCTCCAGATCAACTTAAACCTAGCATAATTAAGTTGGAGTTACTCTGAGTCTCTTTCTCATGTTTCCCCCTTTCCATGAACTAAGGAATCTTTTCTGTAATGGTCCACCCCCCTCCTCCATGTTCCCAGGGACTGTTAGACATTCCACCACACTAAAGCTACCCTATCTGGGTTATAGAAATCTGGATGCCCACTAGATGTCAGCAAAGAGAACTTTCTGAAGCCATCACTTTTTAACCAAATTAATCTCTTCTCCAAACTTTCAGTCCAGTGAAAGTTAGGGGCATCGAGGTCTCCCTAAAATAATGAATTTTAATGAAGCATTAACTGCATTGAGTTCTGGGGTACTTGGTGGTAGGATTGGACCCTTTCTGGATAGCCATCAAACCATGAAATGGGCATCAGAAGAAAGCGGTTTAGTGTAGACAGAGAAAGGTTGTGGGTAGTGAGCACGTTGCAAGGCTTTTGTGGCTGAAGTCAGTGTACCAAACTAAACAGCAAGTATCATGTTCTCTTCAGAGAAACATCTTATTTTCTCTTCCAGAAAATCCTTTTACTCTGGCCATGCCTCCTTTGCCATGTATACCATGATGTATTTGGTGGTAAGTTCCTCTCTCCAGGTTTACAGAAGTGACGTTTGGGGGGAGGGCAGATCATCACACTACATGAACCACAAGGAAAAGAAGACAGATTCATACAGGCAGCTGCCGTACGAGCCAGCTGCTTAAAACAGAACCCGATGGAGGAGCAGCCTGATAACCCTGGTGCAAGGGGCTCTCTTGTAGCTTCAAAATTATTCATTAAAAAAAACAAAAACACAACCCTCCAAGGTTTATACTGGTGTGGGAAATACAGTTGGCAGACATATTAAAGGAATAGTTTGCCTTATGGAGTAATCAAATCTTTATTATGGTCATAGACCAGCCTAATATGGAGTAACTTCCTCCTTGCCTGTGTGAATGGGAGCCAGGAGTTCTTCATAGCAACACAACCCTTTTAGGCAGCAGAACATTCCAGAAACTAGTAGAAAAAAATGTTTGGTACCCAGTTATCAGGCACTTGAAATGTCTTTTTGATTGCTCTCATCTTGATTCATTATAGCTATGCTTCTAAACATTCACGGGCTAAATACACGGAAGGCATGTTCCCGTTCCTCTTCCAGAGGAGGGAGGCAGGTTTTCTAGATTACCACTGAGCCCTCGTCTTGGGTCAGATCTGTCCACAAGCTTCATTGATTTAATATTCATCAACTCCTCCCAGAAAGCCTTCGGAATTGAGATTTGGAGGGAAAGCTGGGTATGCAGAACCCTCCCAAATTGCCATTTCCACTGTGGAGAAAGAAAGCCGTCTGTCTGATTTATTGCGTGAATTTGCCATGTACATAGAGAAAGGGTTAAACATAATATGAAACACAATAGCAATGCCTTGCATTCATTTGAGTTTGGCCCATGTTAAGTGAGCCCAGCCAAATGTAGCGACTTCAGCCAAGTATGTTGAAGTCGAGTTGTGAGCTGTGATTCATGGAAATAGAGGAAATGAAAAAGTCTGAGACCCTTTTTTCAAAACTGAGAAAGGGGCTATCCCCTCCCAAAGAAATGGACTCAGAGAGAAATTCTAAGCCCAGCCTCTGGAGGGGACGGGAAAGAGATGCCTGTCTGGGATGGCCTGACTCTGTTACTGTATTGAAAAAGGACATTAACAGTAGGAGCAGGTTACTGAATGCTGGAATCTGTCCCTGTTGTCATCCTCTGCAGGGGATCTACAAGATGTAGCACACTTATGTAGGGAAGAGGGGGAGCAAGGACAAGGGTCTCCCACTCTCCCTCTGTTCCCCTCACACCGGTGTGGCCCTCCTCCATGTGTAGAATGCACTTGTGGCCAGCTAATTTCCAAGGCAACTGGAAAACTTTCAGTTCTGCATAAACTCTCCATATTTTCTTTTTAATTGTTGCCATTGGTCGCCTTCTACAGCTGGAGAAGATAAAAGGTGAAAAAGGTTAATGTTGTTGTTCTCATCCCTGCTTTCCTTTCTCATAATAGAACCTGAATGATTTCTAATGGCCAACATCCAGCACCAATTGGTTAATCGATTATGCTGAGCAAAAAACTCCATTATAAGCATTTCCACAATGCATCTAAGTAGCCAGCCCCTTCCCTTAATTCTCCAAGTTCTCTGGAGTACTGCTGTGAGATTCCTGGATCTTCACTGTTGCTCCTGCCAGAGTTGCATCTGTTTATGACTGCAGATTTAAGCAGATTTTGACAACTTTCTGCAGAACTACTGTTCGCTGAATATCCTATTTCCACTACTCGTTCCCCTAGTTCTACCTGCAGGCCCGATTCACCTGGCGAGGTGCTCGACTGCTGCGCCCGCTGGTCCAGTTTGTGTTACTGATGTTGGCCATGTACACAGGACTGACTCGCATCTCGGACTATCAGCACCATCCCTCTGATGTGATTGTGGGACTGCTCCAAGGAGCGCTTGTAGCCTACTGGGTGGTGAGTTATAACCTGTGTTTGTCGGTCTGTCTGACCCTCTTTTGCCTCTCTGTCTGCCTTTCAATGAGTGAGAAGGAGTTAGTTCATTCTGCGGTATAGGAGAGAGATCAAGAATGAATTATAGTGTGTTATCTAGAAAGTCCTGTTTATTAGCACTTTTCCCACTTTCAATTCCCAGCCAGTATGAGAATTTGAGGAGTTGAATTCCATATGTGTGGTGGAAAGAATCAAATGCTGGAAGGCTGGGTTACTTTTTCCTCCCCCAATTAAACTCTGGCCCTGTTTGCACAACATGTTTAATGGAGGGGGGGTGCACGGAAGCATGTCATGCAAACAGTTAAGCCTAGTCAGCACTGGATTTAGAGAGGTTTAGTTTTTAATTGTCTACAAGTCCTATGTCAGGTTTGACATCCAAACTGAGGGTTAACCCTCTGATCTGGCTGCTGAAACAGAGTTAAAGTTGTAGAGTAGTCCCCCACCCCCAAAGGGGGCTTCTGTAGGAACTCTGTGTTCATTTTATGTTTCATGCTCCCACAATCAGACAGAAAAAAAGGCAGGAAGTGACAGTTTTTCAGCCACCTTTGCAGCAGCTGTGAGGATGCTGAAAATTGGTCATTCCCCGTTTGACTAAACATCGTTGACTGTGTGCCACTGGGAAAGGGGAGGTGACTGGGTTAGCCATATGGTGCAGTTGGGTCCCTGTGTAGCAGTGATGCTTAAGAACAACTTCCCTTAAGTTCAACTGAGGCTCTTGCCAAAATAAAACGGGAGGTAAGGGCTTCCCTTTGGGGGCTAATAGAAGGGCAAGGCAGGACAGGAGTGGGTTTGGACAAGAAACCAGCAAGCTATAGGCCTTGTTGGGCTGGGAATGATGGAAGATGTAACCCAACTGATTTGAAAGTGAGCAGATGGGGAAAAACACTCTCTAACCTCTCTTGTGTTATGTACTTATATTCAGGGACTGGCCTTGTTTATTTTAATTCTGTCCCCTAAAGTGTCCCCTATTCTATCTATTCTATTCTAAGTAAAGTTAAATTCTGTGCAGATTATGCAAGTCAAGTAAGTGTTATAATTTCCTTTTATTTTGCATGATCTATTTTTCTAGAGAACCAAAGTGATATAGGATATTGGACTAGGATCAGAGACCCAGGATTAAGTCTCTGCTTGTCTATGGAGCTATCTGGAAGAATTGGGGACAATTATTCTTTCTCATCCTAATTCATCTTATAGTGTTCTTGGAGGAATGCACTTGGTGGAGAAAAGGCAGGATAAAAGTCTTAACTATAGTCAAGGGGGGAGAGTGCTGAAACCCCAATCTCTGATAATTTCGTTCAACTTCTCTACTTCTGATATTCAGCAGACATTCCTTGCATGTTTCTGGACATTTTACAAAAAAAGGTGGGGGGGGGGCAACAGCATGATAACGATAATATGAAATCATATTTTAGATACCCCTTATATAAATTAATGGTGCAACCACATCTAGAATATTGTGTGCAGTTCTGGTCACTGAACCTCAAAAAGGATATAGTGCAGCTAGAGAAAGTTCAGAGGAGGACAACTAAGATGATCAAGGGACTGGAGCAGTTTCCCTATGAGGAAAGATTGCAACACTTGCGGCTTTTTAGAAAGGAGGCAAACGAGAGAGGACATGACCAAGGTGTAAAACATTATGTATGGTTTGCATAAAGTGGACAAGGAGAAGTTATTTTCCCCTTCCCAAAATACTACAACCAGAGGTCACCCAATAAAACTGAATCCTGGGAGAATCAGGGCAGACAAAAGGAAAAAAAAATATATACCACATGTAATTAAACTTTGGTATTCACTACCACAAAATGTGGTGCTGACACCAGTTTGGCTAGCTTCAAAAAAGGGTTGCACCAATTCAGGGAAGTCATGGGGATCGATGGCTGTTAGCCTGGATGGCAGCGTGACTGCCTCTGAAGGCCATCTGCTGGGAGGCTAGTGGGCTTCCTTGTGCAGTTGGCTGGCCGCTGTGAGAACAGGCTGCTGGACTAGATGGTCCACAGGTCTGATCCAACAGGGCACTGCTTATGTTCTTATGTACACAAACATGTTTGATCAAGCAAGCTTGAAATTGTTTCAAATAAGGCTATTGTATTTGGGCTATAAAAATCTGGATGACCACAAAATGACAGCAAAGATTTGGAGAAAATTCCAAACTTTTCCTGCCATTTAATAGTTGCCTGGATGTTTGCAACCTAGATATGGTAACTCCTGATTTGCAGTTGAATTGATTCTCCAGCTAACTGCATTCCATGTGTTAGTTCTGCTCTCATAGGGAACTAACTAGTCAAGCAACAGAGAGTTCTTATCTTTTACACTTTTTTTTAATCCGTTCAGTTGTGTCCGATTCTCGGAGATTGCCTGGACAGATCCCTGCAGTTTTCTTGGCAAGGTTTTACAGAAGTGGTTTGCCCTTGCCTCCTTCCTAGGGCTGAGTGAATGTGACTGGCCCAAGGTCACCCAGCTGGCTTTGTGCCTAGGCAGGACTAGAACTCACAGTCTCCTGGTTTCTTGCCTGGTGCCTTAACCACTACACCAAACTGGCTCTCATCTTTTACATTGTTGTTGTTGTTTAGTCGTTAAGTTGTGTCCGACTCTTCGTGACCCCATGAACCATATTGCGCCAGGCCTTCCTGTCC